ACACACACACACACATGCAAGCATTGCTAGTAGGAAACCCCGTATGGATTTGTTGACGGTTTTGACATTTTCTGTATTTATGGAAATGATATTCTTAAGCATTTCAGGTGTTATTGCTGCAAATGAATTATCGCTGTATACGGGTCAAAAAAGTTTACCACTGGTTACAGCATTCTTTAAAAGTTTCAACGTACAAAATGTTGACGACGAAAGAAAACGGAAAAAGGTGGGTGATTTCAAATCAGCTGGAAATGAAAGGCAAAAACGCATGTGTGCAAACGTAACTGATAATTATGGTATTAATAAATTTTCGAGTTATCACCCACTGCTTAGTTGTTCTGATAATCATGAAATTATCCTCAATTTCGCTGCTGCAGTTCCTTCTGCTGTGTGTTTCACCTTCTTCAGCAGTCAATTTTAGATTTGCTACAATAATGCGGTAAATGCTTGCGTTACCGCGTCCACACTGTAATGCCTGTACTACTTTTCTCTGCAACATAATTTAATGGCATTTAAAAATGGACCTTACACTACGCATCGAGTTCTTGAAATTTAGCTTTTTTGCAATTTTCATAAAATTGTTCAGGCCAATCTTGGTACCGTTCTGGGTGTCTATTTGCCAACGCTGCAGCATATTTTCGGTGCTGTAATGTTTCTGCGATTGGCCTGGGTTGTTGGAATCATGGGTGTTGGTCAGAGTTTCGCAATGGTGTTTTTATGCTGCTTGTGTGTAAGATTCTAAACCGCTGTTTCTTAAAATACTGTGCGTTCCCTGATTTATTTGGATGTTGAGAGGTGGAATATCTTCCCGCTGATTACTATGACGAGACAACGAGGAGTTCATGACTCATTTCTGGAAATATAATTTTGGCAGGGACCGAGAATTCCTTCTTGGAGGTGTGTCAAAGTAGGTTCTAGTGGATCCCAGAAAAATAGTACCGTTTTTTTTGGATGCGCTAACATGGACCATAAGAATTGAAGTTTAGTCAATTTTCTCAGACTTCAAAATCACTTTCATATTCCAATTACGTTTTGAGAAAAGCCAGCGGGAATTCCATACGAGTTCAGTGAAGTTCTGGGCTAATAATTCATGAGGTTATAGAATTCAATAGTCCTTGTATGATTCTAAAAGAAGTGTAGTTCGGTTAAAGCAGATGAAAATTTTCTTATAAGCGTGTTTAGACAAAACAAACAGATCGAAGCGATTAACATCGTAAAATCAAAAACAACTGCATGAAGTGGATGATGGAGCACAGGGATCGTTTTTGTAATGTTTAACTTATTACCATTCGAAGACTGTAGAAATAGCGGTAAATGGGAGATGGTTCCCTTTCCGATCCTAATCTTTGCAAGAAGTGACGCCGTATCATATTCCCAGAAGTTAACTTGGAAATCTCATGATTCACTGCAGACATTTTTGACGTGCATCAGTTTGAGCGCCGTGGCAACTAATGGAGTTATCGAGAGTGGCGGCACCTATTTCATGATTTCACGCAACTTGGGGCCCGAATTTGGCACTGCCGTCGGCATACTGTTTTATTTGGCTAATGCATGCGCCTGTGCTATGTATATCGTTGCCGCCGTCGAAGTGTTTCTTGTACGGTTTAATACTTTGCCCGTAGAGCAGTAGCCTTGAATACAATTTTGAAATTCCTAAAAAATCCCTTATAAGCTTTATTTTCTTTGGCCCTGCATAAATTGGCTTTGATCCTGCGATCCTCGCAATTGAAAAAATGGGTTTTAAATTTGGCTTCACCTGCTAAGCTGGAGGACAATTCGATTCAACTCCTGAAAAGGCTCTCGATATCCTAAAAAAAGCATTAGGCAAGGCATTTCCCGACATCATTTTTGCATCGTTTTAGTATCACCACCTCATCCCAAAGCTGCCAACCGAAGACACGATGAGATACTGCATCGGCCAAGAGGAAATTTCGTGCTTAAAATATGTTCCTCGTGCATAAAAAATTGTAGTAGACATTGGAAGGCGATTTTAGATTTCTAATTTTTTTGTGTACCGCCTCCATATTTTCACTGTGAATTCACTTTAACACCGTATTGTTAATTTTTCCTGCTCACAAAAAATTCACTGTGTAAAAATTATTAATTTCAGTTGTACATAGCTCCGAATATCACTGTTGGTGGCTCAGAAGTGCATGCTGATACAGGT